TACTTAGAGACAGGTCAAGTGTTCTGCCCAAGTCCACAAGGCTGTTTAAGATGCAGGTCAACCTTATAGAAGGGCAGATTCAGGTGTTCAAACCACAGAGATAAATGCAAAGTTTCACCCTCAAGTTCATATACCACAAGTGGGGATTTGAACTCAGGCCACCTGACTACAGAGGGCATCTCCTTGGCTATGATGCCATCTTGCTTTCCTGGAGGGCTTGTGGAGACACCGAGGAAACATGGATATAGAGGTGTCCTTAGTGGGGCTACTGCCACTGACCTGGGCTGCAGAGATGTTTTTAGATACTCCCCCGGCAGGAAGCCCAATGCGCTAGCTCTGACCTTGCTGCAGTTCTTGGCACAGGCTAGTCAGTTTCATGTTACTGACACCTCCGCTGCTCTGAATATTCGTTTTCTTCCAGGTTTCTCTCCACACTGTAACAGGAGCTAGCCTGCAAAGGCATGGCCACCCCATGCACCTCCGCCCGGCAGTGGTCCATTCTCAGAGGAATCACCTTGCAAAGCTACACTGGAAGCTATTGAATTAAATGTTGCTGCTTAGAAGGCAGCCGTTGTCCTGAAGAGGATGGGTGGAGCTTTCCCTCATTATCCAGCAGCCTTGTTCCAACTGCGTGGGGAGAGTGGATTGTCCTGGGTGCTTCTGTGATGTGCCCGCCTGGCACCTGTTCCGTGGTGCCCACTGTGAGGGGCACAGGATGGGAATCTGACAGCTGTCTCCCTTCTCCCCACTTCCCTGCCAGGCCATCAGCAGGCAGTTCTTGGCAGGACTTGTGATGACTCCGCAGGTTTGAGCAACCCAACACGAGACCACGTTCTCTTCCATTTTCCTAGGTCCAAGCAGCTCTATTGATGATTGCAAATTTCAGTATGGGGTTGTGTGTCTGCTTATTATGTCATTCTGGATGGAGATGTGACCCGTACTAGCATGACATGCAGGAATAATCACTATTATCATCATTATTTTTAACATCAATTGTTCACCATTGAGAGCAGCGGGCATTGTCAGAGAACAGAATTAGACCTTTTTTTCTCCTTTCCCCAGTCAGCTCTCAATTTAAATTAAACAGAGATGGCTCATCAACAAGAGGGTAGGATGATGGTGGTGCTGGGGAGTGTTTGGTGCAAAAAAATATAATTCAATTTTTTCTGTTTTTTTTTTGGGGGGGGGTGCAAATATTAACCCTTGTAGTTCTCCCTTCTGATTTATATGATTTTTGTCTTTTAATAAAATCCCACAATAATAATGATATCATGCAGAATTTGGACCTCTGGGGTCACATTTTTGTAGTTATTTCATAACTCTGGGGGAACCAAAATTCATTAAATTCGAATTCACATCTGCATGAGACAGGAAGAAATGCCTAAATGGTCTGGGGAGAGCCTGGGCTGATTGGCGGGGGTGGGAGGGGGTGGGCGGTCCAGAGACTTTGCTGCTCGGAAACCTTGGTTGCCTTTTTTCCCCTGAGCAAATATCTGCCGTGATTTCTTTGTTGGTGAAGATGTTTATGTCTCCCTCTGTGAACTTCTATCCTTATCCTCAGCACCAGTTCCAGAGGAATCTTCCCGAATTAGCAGGTTCAACCGTGCCACCCCCTCTCTTGTAATTCTTCACCCTTCCCCACTGGACTGCCCACTCAGAGCTCAGAGTTTCTGGGCTTTTACGCTTCTGCTTCCCTCCCCTCTCAAAAGCTCCATTTCCTTATCAGCCCACAAGCTCATCTTGCTTCATTCTGCTTGGGCCCTTGGTCCTGTCGCTTCTCCGGCCTGCAATCACGTCCCTTCCTCTCCACTCATCCTCTGCGTCCCCGGGTCCTGGCTGGCCCTCTGGGGGCCTTTCCTGGTGCCTCAGTGTTCTCAGCCTCCTGTGAAGCCCTGTGGTACTTACGGTGGGTGATGGGTACGTGGTGTCCAAATTCTTCTGTTGAAGCCCTAAGCCCCAGGACCTCAGGATGTAACTGTATGTGAAGATAAGGTCTTTGAAGAAGCAATTAACTTAAATCGAATCCCGTCTGACTGGTGTCTTTATAAGAAGAGGAAATCTGGACACGAAGAGAGAAGCAAGGGGGTGTGCGCCCAGAAAGAAGAGCATGTGAGGCCGTGGTGAGAAGCTGGCCTGGGCAAGTCGCCGACAGAGGCGGCGGGAGACACCACCCCGCCTGCATCTCAGATTTCTGGCCTCCAGAATGATGAGACAACAAAGCTCTGCTGTTCGGGCCAGCCAGGCTGAGGCATTTTGTCGCGGCGGCTAGAGTGGACTAACACGTAGCGGGAGCTTGTAGTACAGTCCCCGTAATCCTGTCTTCCCTTCCTTTTGTGAGGGCGTGTGTCGTCGCTGACGCCCATGACTGTGGTGCCTTCCCTGCCCTCCCGGGAGAAGTGGACGTGCTCGCTGTTGGACCCGGTCGTGTGCACTGGACGCAGGTGGAGAGGGGGCACGGTGCGTGCCGTGTCCAGAGAAGCTCTGAGCCCCCGCGTGACCGCCCCTCACCCTCCTCCTCACTAAGGGGGCCTCGTGTGTGGGATGGTTGTGCTCCTTCACCTGGATCCTGGGATGTGAAGACACGTGGAGCTGAGCCAGGGACACTCCCGGAAGTAGCAGACATGTAACGCGGGTGAACATTTACTCCTGTGAGATTTGGGGGTTGTTATTACACCAAAGCTAGCACTCCAGTGTTCTTGCCTGGAGAATCCTGTGGACAGAGGAGCCTGGTGGGCTGCTGTCCATAGGGTCGCATAGAGTCAGACACGACTGAAGTGACTTAGCAGCAGCAGCACATCATTTATACCACAGTTTACTCTCTAATAACAAGGAATTACTATTACCTGTGCCGTGCCTTCTTTTCGGGGAAGGCTTCCTGAACCCCCAAGCCACGCTCGTATGTGCTCTGCTGAATCTCTATGCAATCACCCATCTTCACTGAGCTCGTGAACACAGTAAATGTTTAATGAGCATCTACTTTTCACCAGACACTGACCTGGTGTATTGAATCGTGCTCTTTCTCTTTTTTTAAGTAAATGGTTCCTTTGTTCATATATATATATATATTTATATCCATATCCATATATTTATATCCATATCCATATATCCATATATTTATATCCATATATATACATATATATATATATACTGATTGTGTGCATGCCGGATCTTCGTTCCCTGACCAGGGATTGAACCTGCGCCCCTGCACTGGAAGTGTGGAGTCTTAACCACCAGGATAGTCCCTTGAATCGCTCTCCCAACTCTCTTTTCTTCTCTACTAGCCCTTGAGCTGCTTTAGGTCAAGCAACCTGTCCTTATTCCTTAAGGTGTCCCAGTGTCTAGTGGGGTGACCAGCATGGTATTGCTCAGTAAACATTTGTTAAATAAATGGTGACTCTGCACGTGTCTGCACAATTGGATTCGAAGATTTTTCAAGGTCGGTGTTTGTTTCCTCCATCTTCTGTACTCTTCCCCAAAATCTGCTACAGAGCTGAGTGTGGAGCATTAGACCCTAACTCACCTACTGGAACAGAGTCATAGCTGTCACTTCTTTGGGATCCTGACTTTGCTTATAGACTGGGAATATTTCTGATACCCATAGAGATGCATAATGATGTGTGTGAAGGCACCATTCATATCTCCTCTGTCTTTGCAGTTGTCATCTGTCAGTGCTCACCTGGAAATGGATGAGGACAGCCCTCGAGACAACATAAATGTACGTTCTCTTGGAATGAAACTTTTGTGATGCTGAGGGGGGAGGCACCATGTGGTCCGAGAGGATCAGAGGCCCAAACCTTCAGATTCCAGACGGTGGATTTCTCTAGTCCTCTCTCTCGGTGGGTTAGCAGCAGCTGGTCATTGAATTCCAAGGAATCCTGGGAGCGGAAACCAACTTTTCAAAACAGGAAGTATGTTTGAAGGAAAGAGGAAGACCAGTGACCACTTCCATCGAGCAAAGTGTATGTTTAGTTTGAAGCTCAGCAACCAGACCGGTTTCTTCCTTCTCACCGCCCATCCCTCACCAGCCTCCCCCCCGCCCTCCCCGTCACCTGACCGAAAGACACAGGTCAGCTGCAGTGGGACAGTGCGGTGCAGAGGAAAGAAGCCTGAACCTATCCCGACACTTGACTCTGAGTTTTATGGCTTTGAGTTTGACTGTTACTGGTGTATTAAATGAGCTGGACCTGGTGGGGTGCCAGGAGGAAGATGCTTTATTCCAAGCAGCTTGGAATTCCATGTAGCTTTTTCCGTATACTTTTGAGAGCTTCTGTCCTTGAGAGCTTCTCCAGGCAACTGCACAGAGACCCAGTCAATGTAATATCAAAACCCTAAACTCTCATCCGAGAGTTGAGGATTGGATGGTTGGATGACATCACCAACTCAATGGACATGAGTTTGAGCAAACTCCAGGAGATGGTGAAGGGCAGGGAAGCCTGGCAGGCGGCAGTACATGGGGTTGCAAAGAGTCGGACATGACTGAGTGACTGAATAACAACAAACTCTTGTCCCATTTAAACATTTTTCTCTGTCAGCCAGGGTCTCTCTCACCTTACGAAACCTAAGGTGTGGAAGCAGGAGGTGGTCAGCTGCTTCTTCCTCTGCCCTTCTGCTCCCCTGCTCGTTTGCCATCCTGGCCCCTCTGGGGTTGCAAGGAGGAGAGGTTGTATGGTGGCCGTTAGATGCTGGTGTCCTGTGATCCTGTCAGGCTCCCAAAGCAGGTTTTTTCCTCTCATAACATGTGGGTAGCCAGCCTCCAAGATGGTCTCCAACGACCCCTACCTCCTCACAGGACACTCTTGTATAGCACCTCCTCCTTCCCTCCCTTGTACCCTGGTGGGTTTCTGCGGCCAACAGAATATGCAGGAGTGATGGTGTTTTGAGGTTAGGTTATAGAAAACACCGTGGCTTCTGTTTTGCTATTTCATTAGCTCTGAGAGAAGTGAGTGGTCATGTTGGGAAGCCACCTGTGCGAACGTCCGTTTACTGAGGAAGTTGGGCTTTCAGTTATCAGCCAGAGAGGAACCGAGGCCCCTTCCCAACAGCCTCGTGAGTGAGTTAGAAGTGGGCGCTCCTGCCTCGTCAAGCACCAGAGGAGACTGCAGCCCAGCCGATGTCGGAATCCCAGCCTCGTGAGAGACTCTAGGCCAGAGCCATCCAGTTAAGCTTCTCCCGGTTTCCTGACCCTCAGGAGCAGTGTCAGGCAACACAGCTTGTTGTTTGAAGCCACTGCATTTCTGTTGTTTTTTGAGTCCTTTCTCCCTCAGGCACCAGCCCCGCGGGTTCTGGTGAGGAGGTGCTCTGTTGGGGTCCTTGTGCAGCTCCTCAGAGGAACCGCTCTCCTGAGGACCTGGTCTGCTGTTTCTCTTCAGCAGCATGAGAGCGTGTGTGCCTCCCTGCCCCGCCAAACCCTAGAACAGCAGATTGTCTCCAGCGGGTCCTGTTCGCACCATCTCCACCACCTCGCACTTACCTGGTGGCTCAGATGGTAGAGCGTCTGCTTACAATGCGGGAGAGCCGGGTTCAACCCCTGGGTCGGGGAGATCCCCTGGAGAAGGAAATGCAACCCACTCCAGTGTTCTTGCCTGGAGAATCCCATGGACAGAGGAGCCTGGTGGGCTACAGTCCATGGTGTTGCAAAAAGTCAGACACGACTGAGCGACTTCACCACTGCCTCACTCCTTCAGACTTTGCAGGATTCCAATTATATTCCAGTCCCTATGTCTCCCAAGCCACAGGAAACACATCTCAAGTTCTTGGGTTATTCTTTAAAGGTTCCGCCTTTCCCAGATGGAAAACCCCACGCCTTTACCCTAAGTGTGTGTGTGCATGACCTATGTGATCCAGGTACATCACTTTCTATACTCTCTATGTGAGGAAGTTACATGTCCAGTGCATTCTTTGGTGCTGGGTTGTAGCAGAACTTGTTTTTATTCAGTCTCTCTGTATGTCCTGCCTGGATGATGATCTAACACCTTGTCCTGGAATATGGGAGTACATGGCCTATATTAAATTGCCAGCTTGTTTCAATCAGGAAATGTCTGGGTTTCAGGTTTGGCACTATCTAACTGTGTGATATTAGGAAAGTCATTTAACTTCTCTGAGCCACAGTTGAGGGTGTGTGTACACATACATGTAGAATCTTTTCAGCTAGAAAATTCTTTTCTGTTATCCTTTCCTGAGTCTTTACTCTGCTTACAAAAGGGGCACGTATATCTCCTGAGTTACAGCGTTTCACTTTGGGGCCTTGTGCAGGCTAAATAATGGCCCCCCAAAGATGTCCATATTCTAGTCCTCAGTTCAGTTCAGTCACTCAGTCATGTCTGACTCTTTGTGACCCCATGAACTGCAGCACGCCAGACCTCCCTATCCATCACCATCTCTTGGAGTTCACCCAAACCCATGTCCATCGAGTCAGTGATGCCATCCAACCATCTCATCCTCTGTCATCCCCTTCTCCTCCTGCCCTCAATCTTTCCCAGCATCAGGGTCTTTTCAAATGAGTCAGCTCTTTGCATCAGGTGACCAAAGTATTGGAGTTTCAGCTTGAACACCAGTTCTTCCAATGAACACCCAGGACTGATCTCCTTTGGGACGGACTGGTTGGATCTCCTTTCAGTCCAAGGGACTCTCAAGAGTCTTCTCCAGCACCACAGTTCAAAAGCATCAATTCTTCAGCGCTCAGCTTTCTTTATAGTCCTAGTATCTATAGTTCTAGTCCCAGGCCTCGTGAATATGTTAATTTTGGCATAAACAAATATTTATAGGTGTGATTTATTTAGTGATTGTGAGATGGGGAGCATCACTTGAATCCTCCAGGTAAGCCCGATGTCATTGTGAAGCTCCTTCCAAGAGGGAGGCTGGAAGTTGAGAAGCAGATACTGAGTTGATGTGATGAGGGAAGCAGGGGTCAGAGTGGTGTGAGGAGGGGGCTGTGAACAAAGAAGTGTGGGAGGCCTCTAGGTACCGGAAAATGCATGAAAACTAATTTCCCCTGAAGCTTCTAGGAGTACAGCCCTGATCTTAAAGTCCGACTTTCAAAACTATAAGCTAATAAAGGTGTGTTTTTAAGCCTCTAAGTGAAAGTGAAAGTGAGTTTGTAGTAATTTGTTACTGGTGAAAGTGAAAGTCACTCAGTTGTGTCTTGTCTGGCTCTTAGATTCAATTGGAAGGACTGATGCTGAAGCTGAAGCTTCAATACTTCAGCCACCTGATGCGAAGAGCTGACTCATTGGAAAAGATCCTGATGCTGGGAAAGGCTGAAGGCAAAAGGAGAAGAGGGCGGCAGAGGAAGAGATGGTTAGATAGCATCACCGACTCAATGGACATGAATTTGAGCACACTCTGGGAGATAGTGAAGGACAGAGGAGCCTGGCGTGCTGCAGTCTGTGGGGTCAAAAAAGTCGAACACGACTTAGCAATTGAACAACAACAACGGAACTTAGGCATTGTTTCAAAATTCTGTTCGCCATTTATATTTTTTCTTTTAATGAACTCCTTCTCACGGTCTTTGTTCCTTTTTTAACATGTTGCCTAACCTTTTGTTACTGATTTGAATGATATTTGTATATTAAATTACCCTTTGTTCATGAGATGTTGCAAATATTTTTCCAGTTTTTGATTTGTCTTCTAACTTTGCTTAATGGCTTTTTGTTTTGTTGCAGTGATTAAAAAAAAAATCTGGTCAAGTTTATTGTTCTTTTATGGTCTCTGAGCTCATGATTTTTAAAATGTAAATGAGGCTTCTATATCAGTAGGTTAGGGAAATTCCATGAAACCCCTCTAATAAGGACTGCACCCATGTTTTATGAAATTTGCCATCATATCCTTATGAACAAAGTGGAAAAATGAGAGTTGGATGGTGTATACATCAAAGTGCCTTTATAGTTTACTGAATGAATATACATGACACGTGATGACTAATGGACCCATGTCAGCCTAGATTCCCTTGGCCGTGATGAAGACATAATTCTCATATTTCAGACAGAAGAAAGGTCAAGATGGGATATTTAATTTCCTGGATAACAAAAATAAAGATCCAAGAAGATCTTGACAGGCAAGAACAATGAGTTGAAAACCAACACAACAAATGTAAATGAGATAAATCAAAGATTAGTAATCTTTCTAAAAGTTCAAGTCCATAGGGACAGGTGGGAAAGGCTGAGATACTAGATACTCATGTAAATAACATCACAGCAGTGACACACCTCAGCATGAGCTAATGGTGGACAAGGAATACCAAGTGAGGGTGGGCTTAGGTTCTTTCTGGACTATGCTTTATATTTCACCAGTTTCTATATTCACTCATTTGTGTGTGTGTGTGAGTGTGGTTCTATGAAATTTTATCACATGTATAGATGCATGTATTCGGGACAGTTTTTAATTAGTAAGTGGAATGAGACTAGATTTATCTCTAGAAAAAGTTTGTTCCTCTGTTTCAGACAAATCAAGCTCAGGCTTTTAAAAGAGTGGCATGCCCCAGATAAAAGCATGCATGGAGTGAACTTGCATGAAGTACTCTAATTGTACCTGAATCATGCTATATATGCATTCCTAAGGCTATATTTGAGCTGTATGTTGGCACATTATAGAACTGAAGGGAAATGAGACATTTGCTTATTCAGTCGCTCAGTTGTGTTTGACTCTTTGTGACCCCATGGACTGTGGCACACCAGGTTTCCCTGTCCTTCACCACCTCCTGGAGCTTGTTCAAACACATTTCCATTGAGTTGGTGATGACCTCCAACCATCTCCTCCTCTGTCGTCCCCTTGTCCTCCTGTCTTCAACCTTTCCCAGCATCAGAGTCTTTATCAATGAGTCAGCTCTTCGTATTAAGGGGCGAAAGTACTGGAGCTTTAGCTTCAGCATCAGTCCTTCTAGTGAATGAATATTGAGGGTTGATTTCCTTTAGAATGGACTGGTTTGATCTCCTTGCAGTCCAAGGGACTCTCAAGAGTCTTCTCCAACACCACAGTTCAAAAGCATCAATTTTTCGTCACTCACCCTTCTTTATGGTCTAACTCTCACATCCATACATGACTACTGGAAAAACTATAGCTTTGGCTATACAGACCTTTGTCAGCAAAGGTCCATATAAATGAGATGTTAAGCAATGATTTTCAAAGGCCCCTTGAAAACCTGCCATGCAATAAAGAGGCTAGGCTTATTCCATGCCAGTACAGAGGCTGTTAAGAGAGATTGGAGACAGAGACAAGAAACTCTCTCCTGAGACTTTGACTCAAGAAAATTTTTTTCCAGCAAGGAGAGTTGGAAAACAATGGATTTTGGTTCCTATTAGAGCAGTAGGAGTTATTCAAACAGGCAGAGTGACCACATTTCAAGAGGGAGATTCTTAAAGTTTGGATTAAAAGACCACTAAAGGTCTTTGCACTTTGGCCACCTGATGTAAAGAACTGATTCTTTGGAAAAAGACCCTGATGCTGGGAAAGATTGAAGGGAGGAGGAGAAGGGGACGACAGAGGATGAGATGGTTGGATGGCATCACTGTCTCAATGAACATGAGTTTGAGCAAGTTCTGGGAGTTGGTGATGGACAGGGAGGCCTGGTGTGCTGCAGTCCATGGGGTCACAAAGAGTTGGACATGACTGAGTGACTGAACTGAACTGAATGTTCTTCTCAACTCAGGCTCTGAGATTCTATATTATTTTCTAATGTATATTATATTCTGGAATATTCTAGGATTCTAGAGCTTATTCTATATACTCTTTCAGGACGAGGAAAGGGAGAAAGGAGAGGTGGAAGGAGGTGCTGGTGATCCTAGGCTGCTCATGTAGTATGGAAATAACCAAAAGCACTATGAAGGCATAGCTCTAAATGCTGTTCTTCTGAAACTTTTCCATCAACTCTGTAAAGAGCAAGATTGTATTCAGCGATGGTGCCTATTAATTATGAAGACACAGAGGTCTGATAGCTATTTCTGTTACTCTTTTGGAGAAGGAAACCCACTCCAGTATTCTTGCCTGGAGAATCCCATGGATGGAGGAGCCTGGCAGGCTACATACAGTCCATGGGATCATAAAGAGTCGGACACGACTGAATGATTAACACTTTGTTACTCTTTATCCTTCTCTCCTTTCTAAATTGATATGTTTTATTTTAAAGAATGCTGTATCTAGTAGGTTTCAAACTATTTTGACTGCTTTATTTCTAATCCAACTTGAATAGACCTAGGTTATTGGCTGGTGAGTTTATAGGTTTTTAAGACACATGTGTTTATAGAGGGTAAGGGTCCAAGGAATCTGGGAGGTACCAAGAAGTGGCTGCTGCCATTTTCTGAGGCCTGGTATAATTAGGATCCCACGTCAGAGTGAAAGACGGTCCCATGGGGCTATAAAGGGGAACATCTACTTTAAAACC